TTGTCCCCAGTACAGCACAGAATACACCAGCACTGACCTTCCTCTGCTCCCAGAGCCAGGGGCCGGCCCCCACGTTCATACTGCCCAGGTCTCCACCGACTAGCAGACCTTGTCCACGTCGACCCCCAGCCTTCCTTCCCACCCCAACTCCCCCAGCCCTCGGTGACACCAGTGTCCCTCRCTTTCCAACACAGAGCCCAAGTGGGCAAGTGTCTTTGTTTGCAKCTGGTGCTTTTGTGAGCTTCCCACCCCACGGCCTCCTCCTCTCCTCCCCTTCCTGTCCCCCTCCTTAAACTGGAGCTCCCCGAGCCCAGCACTGCCCTGGACACCTGGCACCGCTGCCTTGGCCCCGCCCACAACTAGACTCTACTGTCCTGCACAGCCATGGCTATAACACAGTGCCCAGGGGCCACACCACAGCCAGGCACCAAGACGGGGCAGTGAGTGACATCTGAGGATCAATCACCCACCAGAGCTTCAGAATCCAGGTCAAGTCCCCAATCTCCATTTCTATATATAAACCTCAAATAACCCTGTAGCGAGAACAGTGTTTTTACTAGAAGTCCTGCCCCAAACAGAAAGCAGGTCCAGCCCAGGGAGTGGAGGGGTGCTATGGGAGGCCAGGTATGGGAGGCCAGGTATGGGGGACCAGGTGGAACCCAGAGCCCCTGGTCTCAATGCAGGTGACCCAAACCAGGAGAGCTCCTGGACTCTGCCATCAAAGGGCCCCCTCACAACCAGGGTGGCCAGGGCCTTCTCCAAGGGAGCTGAGTGGCTTAACCTGATGCATGTTGCTTGGCCCCAGATGGCATAGGCTGTCATTAGGGGCTGTCATTTCCCAATTACTGCTGATAATATCCACCTTCATTGAATGGGGTCCCCATAATGTCATTACGCACTGCGTTCCCCAATTTATTTAACGTACGTGTGTACACATATATTTATGCCTCACTGCAGCCTTGAGATTGCTCAATGGGGAGGTTAATAATAAAACATTTCGACAGGAGGCATCAGCTCTAATTTAAGGGGTGGTTTTTACTATCCTTGTGGTATTCATTTTTCCAAGGAGCCAAAAGACACACGAACAGGCTGGAACAGCATCTCTTGGCCCACAGGCTAGGAGGCAAGGCCAGGAGGCGGCCGGCRGGCTGAGCTGGCCACTTCTCTAAGCAAGTTCCACTCCCTGCAGGCCCAGGCCAGGAGAGAGAGGCAGGGAAGTAGGGGACAGACRTCACCAGAGCCTGTGACTCCTGCACTGGCAGGGACAAAGGAAGCTGGTTGGGAATGAGGAGCCACCAGCCCGGGGAGGGAGAGGAGCCGAGACGGAGGCCAAGGGAGACAGAGGAGCCCCGCAGAGTGCCACCAAGCTCTCCAACGCCAAAGGAGTGAAACCCCTGGGACTTTGGAGGGTCCCAGGCAACAAGGGCAGAGTTGGCCCTCATGGAAATAAGCCCTCCCTACTCTCCCAGGGTTGGGTGGGAGTGACAGGAAGCTGGGGTGCCCCTGCCCCAGGCCCACTGCCAGCAGACAAGCCCCCCCTGCCTCTCAGCCTCCTGCCTCAGGTGGGCCCACCCAGCCAGCATCTCTTCCCCAGCCCCAGCGAGCAGGGCCCCAGCCCAGATGCCAGCTCCCCCACAGCCTTCTCCAAGCGGCCACGGGCGGCCACTCTGCAGAAGTGAGATAACCTTCCAGCCGGCAGCCCGCAGGCCCAGCTGCCCAGGCTGCCAGCGGGGCCTGCCCACTGGAAAGTTGGGTTCTAGGCTGAGCAGAGGAGGACAGCAGGGTGGGTAGATGTCTTGGGGTGGGTGGTAATTAGGGGCTGCCTGCTCCACGCTTGTCTAGGGAGAGGACGTGTCTACTAGCTATAATTAAAAGCTCAGGAGCCGATGGGTCCTGCTCCCATCTCTTCCTACCAGCTGTCCCTGCAGCAGGGCTAGCACCATGTGGTCAAACAGCCTGGGGGCTGGGTCGTGGACCGCTCAGGAAGGGGTGAGCCTGGCCCTCTGACCCTTCTAGATAGCATACTCACAGGCTGGCTCACCACCTCCAACAGAGTAGAGCTAAACCRCCAGACATAGGTCTCTGGGATGAGGAGGGAGTGGGATGGAGGAGCGGCCCCAACCAGACCACTAAGGCCAAGAAGCAGCTCAACTCCTGACAGGCCCCCGCCTCCCGCTGCCTGCTCAGGACCAGCTCTGTAACAAGCTGCATTTCCCCGCTCATATGTCTCCTGAAACGCACCATTCATAGGACATCCTTTAAGTTAAACATGGCTGGCTTCCTTCCAGGGAGGGGATAACTTTTGGGGGTGTTTTGTTCCTAAAAGAAGCGAAGGTGTTGGCAGGTGGGGAAAGCTTATGTCTAAAAGGAGGTGAAGACAGTGGTCCCCTCGTTCACAAGTGAGCAGGCACGTCTATCCCAGGGCTAAGTGAAGGGAGGAGGACAGGGAGAGGGGACAAAGGCTCCAACCCTCTCCCCACTGCAGCCAGACCCTCTTTGCAGACCCTGTGGCCTGCCCAGGACAGACAGGTGCCTCTGCCCCAGGTGCCCCACCCAGGAGTCTCTAGGCTCCTCCAGAGCGGCTCTTCCTGAACCTCAGGAAGGCCCTAGAGTTCTCTGCTCTTGGTGGAAGCTCTTCCTCCAGGCACACGCAGAGCCTGAGCCCAGGGAGAAAGTGGGGCAGGCCTGGGCCACCTCCTGAGCAGTGGAGAGATGGCAGGCAAAGGTTCCTTGCCTCCACCATGGGCTGGCCTGGGGATGTGAGGTGGAGCTCTGCAGATAGTGCTCTATGGGACCAGAGCGCTTGGTACCCACGCCCTTCCAGCGCTGGCCTCCCAGCCTGCCCTAAACCTCCACTCTCACCCCAGAATAGACGGGGTGAATCTAGTATAGGGACACACACACACAACATGCCCTCCCCCATCACCTCCAGCTTCCTTCCAGACTGACAGAGGAGCAGCCACCACTCTGACAATCATGTGTCTTCCAGTTCGGTAAACCCAGCTCAGTCTGTGTTSCGAAATGCCAGTTTTCTCCCTTTGCCAGGAGCAGGCATGGTGAGGAGAGAAGGTAAAGAACCGAGGCGCCCCTCCAAAAAGGACTGACAGTCGCGGGGAGGGGGTGAGGGTGTCAATCAGAGCCTAGGGGCAGGGGGCGCTCGTACGTTCGGGCTCAGGACTCCCTGCCACAGCCACCGCTGCCCCATCTCTGCACAAACAGATTCAGACCTCCGAGGTGCGGGGGCGCCCCTCGCAGTCGGGTCCTCCACCTCCCGGCCCCGCCCCCGCACGGGAAGGGGACGCCTCCAGCCTGCGGGCGCCGGGGAAGACCGACCCCTGAGCAGGGGCCTCCCCCCAGCACACGCGCGCACACACATGCACACACAGATCCACACGGGCGCTCCCCTGGCCGGGTTGCAGCGTAGAGACTCAGGTTCTTTAGGGAAGGATGGTCCTGAGTGTCCGGAGAGAGCCTGACCCTGAAATCCCGGGACCTCGGGGAGACCCCAGACCTACGGGGATGCCCTAAGCCTCTGCGGGTCAGCGATTATCGGGCTCTGGCCGGTGGCGAAGGCGGCGCTGGGGCGGGCACCAGAGCCGGACGCGGTGCCTGGCATGGGAGCCAAGGCGCGCGAGGCTGGCGCTGCCCTCCCTCCAGGAGACCGCGGAGGAGAGGTGCAAATAATGCCCGGCGCCCCCGCCTGCCCTGCTCTCCGCAGAGCCGCGCGCTAATGCCGCCGCCCCCACCTGGGAGCTGGCACGACCCTCCATCCGATGGAACCTGACATAGCCGCTGACCACAGCGACACTACTTTCCCCCAGACCCTCAAAACAGCCGCTGCCCCACTCCTTCCCTCGGAGGCATCCGGAGAGGAGGGGTCTCAGCCCCGAGGGGAGACCCTCTAGCCCGGGTCCCGCACCCTCCGGCCTCGAGGGCTTTGGTTCGCCGGCTCTCCTCGGGGTACCCCGAGCGCGGGACCTCACGGGAGGCCACCTCCCCAAGCCTTGGTGTAGCCACCGCAGCCCGCGCCCCAGGAGGCCGGAGGGCACAGTCCCCTCTGCTCGTTCCCCTCGGGCCACAACTCACCCCGAGCCGGCGAGGTTTAAGCCGTGGCGAGGGGTCCGGTAGCGCCCGCCCGCCCTGGGGGCGCAGGGAGGCGGCGGCCGGACGTTCGGTTCTTGCGGTGCCCGGAGCCCGGCAGCGGCGGGCGGCGCTGACGCTGTGGACCGAGCCCGGCACGGTGCCGCCCGGAGTCCCGGACGCAGCGGGGATGAGCCTGCAGCCGCTCGGCCGGAGCCGCCGCCAAGCCCGCAGCGTTCGGCGGCTGCTCCGGCGAGAGAGAGCGAGCTGGGAGCAGCGGCGAGCCCGACTCCCGCGGCCGCGGAGCCCAGCGTCCGAGCCCGAGAGCGCGGGCGAGACGGTCCAGGGAGCTGGGTCCTGCCAAGGGCTCCGGGCTAGGAAGGGAGCGGAGCGGGAGCAGAACAGCCAGCGCAGCCGGCAGAGGTGAGGGCGCCGAGCGGCGCCGCGGCGGCGGCGGCAGCAGCAACAGCAGCAGGGAAAAAATGAGAGCAAGCCAGAGAGCGCGCTGGAGAGCGAGCGAGCGAGCGAGCGAGAGAGGGAGCGAGAGACGAGAAGAGCGAGGAAGACGCGGAGGGGAGGCTGCGGGCGGGGCGGGAGCGCGAACCGGCGAGGGGGCCGCAGCCGCTCGCCCCGGCGCCCACGGCCGCTGCCGCACCCGGGAGGCGCGAGCCCAGCAGCCCGGCAAGTTTGCGCTGCAAGTGCGGGTCGAGCGCGCGGCGCTTCCGCCGGCCTTTTAAAGAGAGAGCACCTGGGAGCCCACCCCCTACCCGCACCTCCACCTCCAGAAGGCTGGGACGCTCGCCGCGCCCCGCCGCCCCGCCACGCCTGCCCCGCCGAAGGCTCCCCTGCACCACATCCCACTGTCGCCCCCTCCCGGAAGCCCCCTTTTCCCACACCTCCCGGTGCACGTGCCTGGCCACCAGCCCCAAAGATATGGCAGAGACCCCTCCTCACCCCAGAGGTGGAGGGTCAGGGAACAGACCCTCTTGACACCCTGAAAAGTACAGCAGAGCATGGGGAAGCACAGGGGGCGCTACCACGACCCCTTGCRTCACCAGAACCCCCATCTGCAGGGCTGCTTCTCACACATCCGCACACGTGGTGTGTGCCCCCATGTGGCACGTTCATCTTCACACCCCGGTTCAGGCATATGAGGAGGGGAGAAACTGAGGCCCAGTTAAGCAATTCCACGTGTCCCAGGTCTCCAAGCCTGTGGGGGAGTGGACCCCTTCTACTGAGCCTTCCACCACCTGAGAACCCTACCAGGCTAAGGGAAAATGCGCCAGCTGGTTCACAGCAGGAAGGTCTCCTTCCAGCAACGGTTTGCAAAGAGTAACAGGTGGCTGGTCACAGGCTACGGTGACCCAGAGAAGATTCCATCAGCCCACAGAGCTGGAACTCAGTTCCCTCCTTCCCAAGGGGCCTTTGGAATAGCCCAGGAGAGGGTTGGCCTTGGAGGCAGGCAGGGGAGGAAGCAAGGGAGGCAGCCAGGCAGTCCTTTTAGGATTGCAAGAGCATCTCACCCCAGACTGCAGAAGTGGCTCCAGTTAGAGTCATGATGTGACGTGTGACTGTCCTTGTCCCAGAGAGGCTGCACAACATAGAGCTGGTGGCTTCCCTTCCGATCAGTACCTCCGTCCTCCCAGCTGACCTGCAGAGGGCCACCTTGTGCTTGACTGTGCCCAGCCCTGGGAGTGCTCAGCCATCCTCCCAACCCAACCCCTAAAGATACCCCATTTATAGGTCAGAGGAATGTCTGGAGAGTCTGAGAATAACAGCCAGCCCTCTGGTCTACCTTCTCCCCCTCCACRCCCCTTAACCAATGGCCCACACCTTCCCACAAGGCTGCTCCTCCTCCAGCCCCCACACTGAGCAGGCCAGGACCTGYTTGTTCACCAGCCTTCATCCAGGGCCTGGTACCACACCTGACCACAGTGAGCTCCAGGAGTGCCTAGTGGGTGAAGAACTGCTCGCAGAGCATGCCCTGTCTTTGCTGTCACATGTGATGACCCAAATATATGTCTCATTTCCCAAATCAGTGTCTGAAGTCTCTCATGGAAGGGCCCAGATTGTTTCTCCACTCATTGGCACCTTTGGTCTTTATGTAACCAACCCTGACAGAGATCCTGCCCCACTCCACTCACAGCCTGAGAAAACACACAGGACTGAGTCTGCCCTGAGGAGCACGCACCATGGCCATTTGGACCTCAGCASGAAGCTCTTTATGGCAATATAAGTGAAGGCCATGGACTCCTGCTGCCCAGCAGCGCTGTCCAGCCAAGCATGCGCTGCTCTGGACCTGCAGGAGACTCTCGTCCCTGGAGAGGCCATGTCCTTGGGAACCGTCTTCCTGGGCTCAGACCCGTTTCCTGTAATCCAAGGATGATGATGCTCACTTCAAAGCAGGACTGTTAGGTAGCAGGGCTTGTTCACTGCAGGGGGCCACCCAGTTGAGGGGCAGRGGGATGCTCAGATTCAGCCTGACTTGGTTTTGACAAAGGATCGGTCCTCTCTTGAGGCTGTGTCTGCCAAAAGAGGGGGGTTCCGTCTCGGCTTCTCCACGGTTAGTGCCACATAGGCCACCTAGGGCCTGGGCCCTCCTCACAAGGTGGCCGTGAGAGGGAATGAGCTGATGTGTGCACCGTATCTGGGTCCCTGTGAGCAGGAGCCACGGCGATTTTTTAACACAACATAATCCTCAATATCCTTTTGTTGAATAAATGAATGGATGGCGGGATGAATGGATTAGTTAAACTGAAAATAACACAGGCCACGGTTTACTGAGAGTCCAAACGAACACCGCCACGCTCCCACCCCTGGCCGCGGTATGGCCTTCACTCTGGCCATAATTATCCTGCCCCCACCCGCCACCAGCTGTGTCACAGAAGGCTGGGCAGGCTATATTTTTCAGGGGTTAAAAAAAGAAATGCTGTCGGCTGGCAGATGGCTGAGTTTGTGGATGCGTCCAGCGTGCAGGTTCCCAGCCGGACGCCTGGCTCTTCTGGGCCGCTGTCCTGGGCCACCCCAGGCCTCCACAGACCCACAGTGCTCAGCCAAGACTCTGAGCAACAGCCCCGACTTATCCAGCTGGGACACCCTCTTCTGCCCCCGGGCAGTCTCTTTCAGGTCATGACTGATTGACTTACGGTGGAGACAGACGGACACGGGTGTGCACGTGCATACACACACACACACACACACACACACACACACATACACACACACCCCTCATGGAACTTCCATGGGCATCCCCTGCTCTGGGGGACCAGGTAGCCACCCACTGTGGAAGAAGAGTGACTGGAAGTGACTTCAAGTAGTCACACAGCCAGGGCTCCCAGCCTGGACCAGCTTCCCCAAGGCCTGAATCCCAAACTGTCCTCCTCAGCAAGCCCAAGGGCACACAGAAAGAAGGTCACAGGACTGAAGCCTGTCTCCTGGGTCAAGAGCCACGCATAAGACCCATGAATCCTTCTGAGCATTGGTTTCCCCAGCAGTGAGACCCACGGGACCAAGATTTCTCTAAGGATCTGGAATTCAGTGGTGAGTCTTATTCGGAAACTTTACAAGAGGCTGACCTGCTACTGGTGAGTGAGCAAGGAGGGAGATTCTAATCCACCAGGCCTCCCATGCACAGGCTCACCCAAGGGAAATGGAGACACCATCTCCACCCTGGAGCACAGACAGCTGAGAGAAGAAGAGGCACGTCATCCTATCCTGGAGAAAAAAAAATACAAAGTTCCATGCCTGCGCTTCAGACCTCCATAACCTGGAAGTTCTTCCTGAGATCTGACCTAACTCCTTCCTACTATAGCAGATTCTTTCTTCATGCTTTTATTCTGGCCTCTCAGTGAGGGAAAACAAGTCGCCCAGAGCACTCCCCCGCTGTGTGGCAACTCATACCCACAAACCTGCTTTTGTGACTGCTCCATTTCAAAAGAACCCTAATAGGAAAGGGCAATTGCCTTTGAACATTCTGAATTTAGCGTTTATTGAAATAAATCAAAGTGAGCTCAAGGTGCAAGGCCCCTGGGAGAGACTGCAGACCTGGAAACCGTCCCCATGTTGAGTTGACCCAGCCACTGCCTATGCCTCTGGGCCTGATGGGTTTCAATTTTGGCTTCCCCTAAACCAGGCCATTAGATGGCGACATGGGGGAGGGGGCGGTGCTTAAACAACAACTGTCCCCTGGCAGAGCATTTCCAGGATGAAGAGTCAACCAAGAAGGGAGCACAATGTCTCCCTGGCTTGGAGAGTCGCATGCCACCCTGCAGGGATAGGGACTGGTCGCCCTGTGCTGAGGTCAGAAGCTGAGTTCGGCTGGGAGCCCACGCCTGTCATCCCAGCAGCTCGGGAGGCCAAGGCAGGAGGATCAGGAGTTCGAAGCCAGCCTCCCCAATTTAGGAGGCACTTAGCAACTCAGAGACCCTGTCTCTAAATAAAATGTATAAAAGGAGCTGGGGACATGGCTCAGTGGTTGAGCGCCCCTGGGTTCAATCCTCAATACCAAAAAAAAAAAAAAAGAAGCTGAGGGCCCCCTGCATTAAGAATCCTGGGTAAATTGTTCCTACTGTGTTTCTTGGAGTTACCGCAGCCCCTTCTTCACCGTGCAAGGGATACTGAGGGTTATTTTTTCTCTCTTTATCTCTCTTTGGCACTGGGATTGAAACCAGAGGCTCCTGGGTTACCACTGAGCTATCCCTTGCCTTTATTTGTTTGTTTGTTTGTTTGTTTGTTTTTGAGACAAGGCCTTGCTAAATTGCGAGGCTGGCCTCAACTTGAAATCCTCCTTCCTCATACTCCCAAGTAGCTGGGCCTGCAGGCGTGCAGCACTGCACTGGTGATGATACTGAATCCCAAGGGCATGGCCACCAGGAAATCCCCCAGCCCCTGCTGTAGGACAGGCTGGGACAAGGTAATCCTGGTCCCCTGAGGGTTCCAGACAGGACCTCCCCAAGAATCTACTCCCTCTATAGACTGTCACGGAACCAGCCCCCAGGAACCGTCCCACCCTGCGGAACTTTCTCATGCTTTTTGGCTTGAAGTAGTGAATTGGCTAAAGCTGCAGCCCCCTGCCTCCATTCCAAAATCCAAAATGCTCCGAAAACCACAAACTCACTGATAAGAGTTAGGGACACTCATTTGACCCCAAGGCCTGACCTGAAGGCTCCCCACTGTGCCACTGAGCTCCTCTGGTGGGAGACACTGTTTCCCAGCCGGTTCGCCAGTCTGCAAGCTCGCGTGTTTTGTTTGGGGTCACTGTGTGCTCCAGGGTATTTTCACTATATTATCTTTGTAAATTCCAAAATACCCAGCATCAAGGGTGTCTGGGGGTCTGTGCACCTGYGCACGTTGCAGGTGAACCTGGGACATTCACATCCACAGCCTCCACCTCTCCCCATAAGCTAACAGGAGGGACCAGCGGGGCCACCTGGACTGCCAGATGATCGAGCAGGATCCCTCAGGATCCCTCGAACGATTGCCAGAGACACTCACAGAACAGGCATGGGGAAACTTAGGACCGAGCACCTGGAGGGGCCTTCGCCCATGCTGCGGGTACACAGGGGTGCAGGACAAGGAGCTAGAGGCTGGCTCAGGTCTCTCTCTCTCTTCCTACCTGCATGAAAGTCAAGGCAGCTGGACAGAGGATGGGCAGAGGAGCCATGGTTGGGGAGACTGAGGGAGAGAAGGGTCCAAGGTCAACCTTAGCATCCTCCAGAGCTCAGCAGATGACATTCCTTCCTCAGCCTCAGTTCCCCTACCTACAAGGCAGAAGAGGTAGTGGGTAGGAAGGACGGAAGGAGGGGAGGCTGGGCAACTGCTCCTCCATCAGCCTMGGGGCAGGAGCCAAGAGAACCCAGAGCCAACTCCTCCTGCCCTGGGCAGAGGAGGAAGTGCTTCATTCCAGGAGGAAAGAGGAACAAGGGCAACCCCAGCTAGTCAGGAGGCTGAGGCAGGAGGTCACRAGTTCCAGGCCAGCCTCTGCAACGTAGCGAGACCCTTTCTCAAAATAAAA